CGGCATTGTCCCAATTTGCCTTCCATTCAGATGATACGAGTTTATTTATAGCCGGTCTAAAATCACAAGCAGGTAACAATAAGTCAGTTTTTTTTCAAATTTAATGATTGTTTAGCTAAAGCATCTACTTTTTCATTTCCTCGTATTCCTACATGACTTGGAATCCTATATAATTTAACATATTTTGTTTTTAGTATATCATGAAATCGTAAAAGAAGTTTCTTTACCATGATATTGTCAAATTTTTTATTTTTAATGGATAATAAAACAGAAAGCGAGTCAGAAAATTTCACAAATTTATCGTGGGTATGCAATGCTATGTATGACAATGCTAAATTGATAGTGTTTGCTATAGCAGTAAAAATTGATGCATTATTTAGTAACCTCATACTAGATGTAAAATTATTTTCAAACACAGCCGCACCTACTTTGCAACCTTCTTTTTTGAACCGTCCGTATAAATATGTATAAAATCTTCATGTTCTTTCTTAATTGCTAGAAACTTCTCTTTGAAGTATTCAGGTAAATTTGATGACTTTTTTATATTTGAAAGGTTAATATTTATTTTTGGGGAATTATAAGTCCAAAGGTGGAACATCCTCATCGTCATTTTGAAGGATACTGTGTGGATTAATTTTAAGTTTATCTAAATCATCTTTTAAACGAAGGCCAAATGGTTTAATTTCCTTTGGTTTGTTAACAAATTTTTCAATATAATGTGACCGTAGACTTATAACACTCTATCCCCGGTCTACTTTCAGGAGTGTCTGGTCTTTGCTAACAAAGATTGCGGCCGCTTTTCAATGTCATGTTGGCGCGAATATAATAAGAATTATGTGCCTTATGTGCCGTCTTCTTACATCCGTCAGTTATTTCTTGATACGCAATTTACTTGAAAAAGTATTGTGATCCATAGACTTATCACACTCTATCATATACTGTGAGAGGTGGGTGGCCAAGTCAGAAGAGCAGCGTTTACGTCCCATTCGTACGGTCATCATCTCTCCAACGTACCAAAATTTCTGCTCCTGCTACAGCCTGACATGTGTAATACGCATTCGATCTTGTGAAAAACAAAAAAAAATATTCGGTTCTGTCGACTTGTTGGACATTTTCATCTTGGGTGGTTCCACTATTCCTGCTTGAATACTGTATAATCACCCTTAGGATATGTTGCCTGCTTTTTAAATTTGTCTTTTGACGTCTTATCTGTGATATGCAGGCTTCATAACCTCAGATCCCCTTTCAAAATTCCATTTTATTTAGTTCCGCCCATTGTTTTCTCGTTTAGGGCAAAAGCATTTTTTTACTTGGGGACCATACGCCGCTTTTCATGGAATGGCACTACTGTGTAACATTGAAGGTTCCATGATAACCGCCGTATGAACACATCTGCAGATGTTTCTAAATTCAAAATTTCACCATGTTCGTGTTACATGTTGAATTCTGCTTAAGCCGGTGCTAGGGGGCGTGGACGGTAACTTGCACTTTCCAATACCGTCCATGAACAGGCTCAATCAAACCGAACCTGCAACATTTTCGATTGTGTTGTGTTGGACCTTCTTTAGGGATTCTGTTTTTCTCTATATTATTTTGGTACTAAAATGAGCTTTATTTGTGAGCCGAGCCGGAACGGGAAGAGCCAGCTGAATGATCGAGGGCGCGTTGGAAAGGTCTCGGCAAGTCGGATCGGAACGTACCATACACCACCCCTCACCTGGCTAATACCGGTGACGATTGACAAAAACGCGCATTTTCGGTAGGCGTGTCCCGCGAATGCGGCCAGCAGAAGCTTGACAGGTCTACCGATCACATACAAATAAAGGTTTTTCGTGCACCGAGCCGGAACAGGAAGAGCCAGCTGAATGATCGGGGCGCGTTGGAAAGGTCTCGACAAGTCGGATCGGACCGTACCAAACACCACCCCTCACCTTGCGAATACTGGTGACGATTGACAAAAACGCGCATTTTCGGTCAGCGCGTCCCGCGAATGCGGCCAGCAGAAGCTCGACAGTCAGACGGGTCCATCGCGCCGCAATCGAGTCCCGGTTCAGTAGTCATTCGACTGAGCGTGAGAGTCGACAGTGTCTAAGTCTACCGATCACATACAGAGATATCGAGGCTGATAAGTACGAGTCGATGTCCACTAATGGGGTTCAAGTGCGACGATGTGTGACAGAGTCTGAGATCGGTGAAAGGAGGTTGACTTCTTGTACTGTACAACTGAAGGTCAGTAAAGGCACGCATGGTGTCCGTAATGTTCAAACACTCGTCAGATGAAGTGCATGGAGGCCAGCGCAGATCAGTGGCCGTGGTGGTTCCAGTTATATCATAAGTATACCGATCACACATAGACACAAGTAGGTTAATCGGGTGCCGAGCGAGAACAGGCCAGCTCGGTGATCGAGGGCGCGTTGGAAAGGTCTCGGGCAGTCGGATCGGACCGTACCAAACACCGACCCCCACCTTGCGAATACCGGTGACGATTGGCAAAAAGTGCATTTTTGGCAAGAGCGTCCCGGGAGTGGGGCTAGCTCAAGCTCGACAGTGAGACTGGTCGACGCACCCTCGATTACCTGACTGAGACGTCGGACGGCCTGGCGGTGGTCCAAAGTGTCTTAGGTCTACCGATCACATACAAATAAAGGAGGTTTTTCGTGCGCCGAGCCGGAACGGGAAGAGCCAACTGAATGATCGGGGGCGCGTTGGAAAGGTCTCGACAAGTCGGATCGGACCGTACCAAACACCACCCCTCACCTTGCGAATACCGGTGACGATTGACAAAAACGCGCATTTTCGGTCAGCGCGTCCCGCGAATGCGGCCAGCAGAAGCTCGACATTCAGACGGGTCCATCGCGCCGCAATCAAGTCCCGGTTCAGTAGTCATACGACCGAGCGCTAGAGTCGACAGTGTCTAAGTCTACCGATCACATATGGGGGTTCCATTTCTCTCATAAGTTTACCGATCACACGTGGGGAAATAGTGGTAATATCTTAAGTCGACCGATCACATAACGTTACGCCGACGAATTTTTGCCTATTTGTCTATCAGTGTGAGCATTTACCTTATCACACTTTTTTTTTATCGCAACTCTTGCTGATAACATGGATAGGAACCTTGTGCGGACAGTTTGGGAAACTACTTGCACGATCATCCTCTTAGCGATTAATTGCACATGAACAAAAAAATAGATGATGCTAGCCTGCCGGTAGTCGGTAACAAATAAGGATATAAGGCCGCGTATTTCTCGCAAATATCACCCGACGTACTGGCAGAAAACATTTTACTTGTTAATGATGTATTCGAAACGAGAAGAGCAGAAGGAGAGGAAGAGGATGAGGGATCAGGCTGCGGCGTTGGAGGTGGAAGCAGGTAAGACATATTTGGATCACAAACAGTAGACTTAAAATATTATTTTCCATATATTGAATTTATTGTTGATTATGTTAATGTTACCATTACCGACGATCCTAATATAGCTTTAAATGATTACAGAGATGGACGGGCGGCAGGAGGAGACGGAGGTTGGTGTTGCGTTGGGAGGAAGGAAGGGAAGGAAGATGAGGTGGAGGGCGAGGAGGGCAGCGGCTAGTGCGGAGCAGGGGCAGCAGGGAGAGGCGGTGTTGGTTGGGCAGGAGAAGGAGAAGACGGCGGCGGTTGGTGAGGAGATTACAGGGGCGGAGAAGAAGAAGAGGAGGCGCAGGAGAAGGAAGGGCAATGGACAATCGGTGGAAATTGAGAGTAAGAAACATTTGATCACATATAGTAGACTAGACTAAACAAATATTTTTCTTCCTTAAAATGCCTGTCGACCTATTCAACTCTGTCACCGGAGAAAAATCGTAAAAAATCGAATTTAAAACGCAGAGTGCTGAGACTTCCACATGGACTGTAAAATTTCGGTCTTCTCGATCACACCCGAAATATCCAAGCTGGAACGTTCGGAAAGGGGACTAATTGTAAAAAGGTCGATTTTGATGTGATCCTCATCTCCCATTGCAGGCATCAACTTGAAATGAAAACCATGTTCCGTTCGTCAGATTTTATCGCCAAGATATTTTCGTGGACACTCCAGATGATCCCGTTTGTCGAAAATAAGTAAAGTGGACGATCACTCTTTAAAACAAAATACGATCGCGATCGTAGACTTATAACATACTTTTCCCAGTCTACTTACCGGAGTGTCTGGTCTTTTCTAACAAAGATTGCGGCCTCGTTTCAATGTCATGTTGGCGCAAATATAATGCTCAGTGTGTGCCGAATGCGCCGTCTTCTTTCAGTCGTCAGTTTTTCCTTGATACGCAATTTACTTGAAAAAGTATTGTGAACGTAGACTTATAGCACTCTATCCCCGGTCTACTTACAGGAGTGTATGGTCTTTGCTAACAAAGATTGCGGCCGCTTTTCAATGTCATGTTGGCGCGGATATAATACGAATTGTGTGCCTTATGTGCCGTCTTCTTACATCCGTCAGTTATTTCTTGATATGCAATTTACTTGAAAAAGTATTGTGAGCGTAGACTTACTTACAGGAGTGTCTGGTCTTTGCTAATAAAGATTGCGGCCGCTTTTCAATGTCATGTTGGCGCGAATATAATACGAATTGTGTGCCTTATGTGCCGTCTTCTTACATCCGTCAGTTATTTCTTGATACGCAATTTACTTGAAAAAGTATTGTGATCCATAGACTTATCACACTCTATCATACACTGTGAGAGGTGGGTAGCCAAGTCAGAAGAGCAGCGTTTACGTCCCATTCGTACGGTCATCATCTCTCCAACGTTCCAACATTTCTGCTTCTGCTACCAGCCTGTCATGTGTAATACGCATTTGATCTTGTGAACAACAAAAAGAATATTCGGTTCTGTCGACTTGTGGACAGTAACTTGCACTTTCCAGTACCGTCCATGAACAGGCTCAATCAAACCGAGCCTGCAACATTTTACAATTTTGCCGTGTTGGGCTTTCTTTAGGGATTCTGTTTTTCAATATTTTGTTACTAAAATGAGCTTTATTTGTGAGCCGAGCTGGAACGGGAAGAGCCAACTGAATGTTCGAGGGCGCGTTGGAAAGGTCTCGGCAAGTCAGATCGGAACGTACCAAACACCACCCCCCGCCTTGCGAATACCGGTGACGATTGACAAAAATGCGCATTTTTGGCAAGAGCGTCCCGGGAGTGGGGCCAGCTCAAGCTCGACAGTGAGACTGGTCGATCGCACCCTCGATTACCTGACTGAGACGTTGGACGGCCTGGCGGTGGTCGAAAGTGTCTTAGGTCTACCGATCACATACAAATAAAGGAGGTTTTTCGTGCGTCGAGCCGGAACGGGAAGAGCCAGCTGAATGATCGGGGGCGCGTTGGAAAGGTCTCGGCAAGTCGGATCGGACCGTACCAAACACCACCCCCCGCCTTGCGAATACCGGTGACGATTGACAAAAACGCGCATTTTTGGCAAGAGCGTCCCGGGAGTGGGGCCAGCTCAAGCTCGACAGTGAGACTGGTCGATCGCACCCTCGATTACCTGACTGAGACGTTGGACGGCCTGGCGGTGGTCGAAAGTGTCTTAGGTCTACCGATCACATACAAATAAAGGAGGTTTTTCGTGCGTCGAGCCGGAACGGGAAGAGCCAGCTGAATGATCGGGGGCGCGTTGGAAACGTCTCGGCAAGTCGGATCGGACCGTACCAAACACCACCCCCGCCTTGCGAATACCGGTGACGATTGACAAAAACGCGCATTTTCAGTCAGTGCGTGCCGCGAATGCGGCCAGCAGAAGCTCGACAGTCAGACGGGTCTATCGCGCCGCGATCGAGTCCCGGTTCAGTAGTCATTCGACCGAGCGCGAGAGTCGACAGTGTCTAAGTCTACCGATCACACACAGAGATATCGAGGATGATAAGTACGAGTCGATGTCCACTAATGGGGTTCAAGTGCGACGATGTGTGACAGAGTCTGAGATCGGTGAAAGGAGGTTGACTTCTTATACTGTACAACTGAAGGTCAGTAAAGGCACGCATGGTGTCCGCAATGTTCAAACACTCGTCAGATGAAGTGCATGGAGGACAGAGCAGATCAGTGGCCGTGGTGGTTCCAGTTATATCATAAGTATACCGATCACACATAGACACAAGTAGGTTAATCGGGTGCCGAGCGAGAACGGAACGGGCCAGCTCGGGGATCGAGGGCGCGTTGGAAAGGTCTCGGGCAGTCGGATCGGACCGTACCATACACCGACCCCAACCTTCCGAATACCGGTGACGATTGGAAAAAAAGCGCATTTTTGGCAAGAGCGTCCCGGGAGTGGGGCCAGCTCAAGCTCGACAGTGAGACTGGTCGATAGCACCCTCGATTACCTGACTGAGACGTTGGACGGCCTGGCGGTGGTCGAAAGTGTCTTAGGTCTACCGATCACATATGGGGGAAATAGTGGTAATACATTAAGTCGACCGATCACATAACGTTACGTCGACGAATTTTTGCCTATTTGTCTATCCTTGTGAGCATTTACCTTATCACACTTTTTTTTAATCGCAACTCTTGCTGATTTCATGGATAGGAACCTATTGCGGACAGTTTGGGAAACTATTTGCACGATCATCCCTTCTTAGCGATTAATTGCACATGGACAAAAAAATAGATGATGCTAGCCTGCCGGTAGTCGGTAACAAATAAGAATATAAGGCCGCGTATTTCTCGCAAATACCACCCGACATACTGGCGAAGTATTTGCTTATAGGTAGACATATCACTGTGATCCGTAGATGCTAATGATGTATTCGAAAAGAGAAGAGCAGAAGGGGAGGCAGAGGATGAGGGAGGAGGCAGCGGCGTTGCAGGTTGAAGCAGGTAAGACATATTTGGATCACAAAAAGTAGACTAAAAATATTATCTTCCATATATTGAATTTATTGTTGATTATGTTAATGTTACCATTACCGACGATCTTAATATAGCTTTAAATGATTACAGAGATGGACAGGCGGCAGGAGGAGGCGGAGGTGGGTGTGGCGTTGGCAGGAAGGAGGGGAAGGAAGATGAGGTGGAGGGCGAGGAGGAGGGCAGCGGCGGAGCAGGGGCAGCAGGGAGAGGCGGTGTTGGTTGGGCAGGAGAAGGACAAGACGGCGGTGGTTGGTGAGGAGATGACAGGGGCGGAGAAGAAGAAGAAGAGGAGGCGCAGGAGAAGGAAGGGAAATGGGCAATCGGTGGAAATTGAGAGTAAGAAACATTTGATCACATAAAGTAGACTAAACAAATATTTTTGTTTTGAATGCATTGTTGAGTATCTCGGTTTTCATTTATCAGCTGTTGTTGACCTATTCGTACCTAATGTAGCTTGCTTTCGTTACAGAGATTGAGGGGCAGGCTGAGGAGCACGGACAGGGGCAGGGCGAGTCAGAGAAGATGGTGTTGCAGGAGGAGGAGGAGTGTGTGTGTGTGTGTTTGGATTTTTACGGCACGTCAACACATAACTGGCCATATCGTGCCGAATGCTATAATAGGCTTAAAATATTATGTAAAAACATTGTAAATGACAATAGAAATGAGCCAATTAGATCCTAGAATACAAGTTTATCTCTTTTAAATAATCAATTATGTTTTTTGATGGAATTGTATTAAAAAGTTCTTTGAGTGAATTTACAGAATAAAATCTACTACGGGCCTGTGAAAAATCATGACATTCAAGAAGAAAATGCTTGACAGTAAAATTTTCATTACAATCTACACAGAAAGGGGCATTGTCATTTGTGAGGAGATAAAAGTGGGTAATTTTAGTGTGTCCAATTCGGCATCGAAGAAGAACTGTTTGATCACGGCGGTTTGACAGAGATAGAGATGGTGACATATCAAGAGATGGGTTTATATCGTGAAGTTTATTAAAAAAGGCATTGTCCCAATTTGCTTTCCATTCAGATGATACGAGTTTATTTATAGCCGGTCTAAAATCACAAGCAGGTAACAATAGGTCAGTTTTTTGAAAATTTAATGATTGTTTAGCTAAAGCATCTACTTTTTCATTTCCTCGTATTCCTACATGGCTTGGAATCCAATATAATTTAACATATTTTGTTTTTAGTATATCATGAAATCGCAAAAAGAAGTTTCTTTACCATGATATTGTCAGATTTTTTATTTTTAATGGATATTAAAACAGAAAGCGAGTCAGAAAATATCACAAATTTATCGTGGGTATGCTGTGCTATGTATGACAATGCTAAATCGATAGCTTTTGCTTCAGCAGTAAAAATTGATGCATTATCTGGTAACCTCATACTAGATGTAAAATTATTTTCAAACACAGCCGCACCTACTTTGCAACCTTCTTTTGAACCGTCCGTATAAATATGTATAAAATCTTCATGTTCTTCCTTAATTGCTAGAAACTTCTCTTTGAAATATTCAGGTGAATTTGATGCCTTTTTTATATTTGAAAGGTTTATATTTATTTCCGGGGAATTATAAGTCCAAGGTGGAACATCCTCATCGTCATTTTGAAGGATAGTGTCTGGATTAATTCTAAGTTTATCTAAATCATCTTTTAAACGAAGGCCTAATGGTTTAATTTCCTTTGGTTTGTTAACAAATTTTTCAGTATAATTTGGTTTGAAAATAATATTTTTAGCTGGATTTTTCCTATTAGATGAAATTCTAGTTGCATATTGAAGTGATAGTTTTTTACGACGAAGATAAAGCGATGGTTCCCCAGCTTCCGCATATAGACTTTCTACAGGTGAGGTGCGAAATGCACCTAAAGCTAACCGTAAACCCTGGTGATGTATGGTATCTAGCATGTGAAGATATGATTTTCTTGCAGACCCATATACTACAGAACCATAATCTAATTTTGATCGGATAAGACTTCTGTATAATTTCAGTAATGTGGAAGAATTTGATCCCCAATTTGTACTTGATAAAACCTTAAGTAAATTTAAAGCTTTAAGGCATTTAGTTTTCAAATGTTTAATATGTGGTATAAAAGAAAGTTTTTTGTCAAATATAATTCCTAAAAACTTAGCTTCATCAACTACTGGAATTTTAGAACCAGATATGTAAAGTTCAGTGTCATTATGGTGTTTCCGCAATCGACAAAAAATGAACACATTGAGTTTTTGACTTTGAAAATTTAAACCATTTTCTATTGCCCACTTTTGGATTTGATCTAAATTTTGTTGAAGTTGCCTTTCACTTGTTCTCATACTTTTCGATCGATAGCAGATAAGAAAATCATCTACATATAGAGAACAATCTATGCCTGGTGTAAGAGCGCTAGCAATATTGTTTATTTTAAGGCCAAAAAGTGTAACAGAAAGTATGCTTCCTTGAGGAACACCATGTTCTTGTTGGTGATCCTCAGAAAAAGTTGAACCAAGTCTTACTTTAAAGTGCCTATCGTTTAAAAATCCAGAAATGAAAAGAGGAAGTCTGCCTTTAAGTCCAGCATCCTTTAGATCTTTTAGGATACCATATTTCCAAGTAGTATCGTAAGCCTTCTCAAGATCAAAGAAAATTGATACCAGGTGTTGTTTTATATTTACAAAGGCTTCTCTTATAAAAGTTTCAAGTCGTACAAGATGATCGTTTGTACTTCGCTGTTTACGAAAACCTGACTGAAAATTAGTAATAATTCCATTATTTTTCTAGATACCAAAACTAACCGATTATTTATCATTCTCTCGAATGTTTTGCAGAGGCAACTTGTTAGTGAAATTGGGCGATAATTTGTAGGGTCAGTTGAATCTTTTTCAGGTTTAGGGATAGGAATAACCAACGCATTTTTCCAAGTGTTAGGAAATTCACCAGAAACCCAAATTCTGTTAAAAATTTCAAGAAGCAAGTCAAGAGATTGGGGCGGTAGATGTTTAAGAAACTGGTAGTAAATTTCGTCCGGGCCTGCAGCACTGTCTTTTGCAGTTTTAATTGAATAAATTAAGTCGTCAATAGAGAAAAGGGAATTATAGTCTTCGTCATTTCTTGAAGTAAAATTAATATGTTCTTTCTCAGCTTTACATTTGTGTTGTTGAAATTCATTTGAATAATTGTTTGAAGAAGAGTTCTTTTCAAATGTTTTTAGCCAAAGTTTCTGCAATATCCGTTTTTGTTTTGGCATATTGGCCATCACCAGTTTTTAAGTGAACAATTGGACTCTTTTTATACTTACCACTTATTTTCCGTACTGCATCCCAGACTTTCTTAATAGGAGTATTTGAATTAATATTTGAAACATATGATTGCCAGGATTGGCGTTTAGACAAACGAATTAATATTCTAGCTTTAGCTCTAAATATTCTATAATTTTTCAAGGTTTGTTGTAGGGCGATGTTCAAACTTTTTTAGTGAAGCTTTACGTATGCGAACAGCTTTTTTACATTCATCGTTAAACCATGGCTTTTTGATTTTGTTACTATTATTTTTTTGTTAATGGAACAACTTTGCAGGCAATAGTATGTAATGCTGAAGAAAAAGTTTCAGCTATATCAGCAGAAGTGAAATTAAATTCATTTTTTGTTAGATCAATGGAACAGAGCCTAGAAAATGTTTCCCAATCTGCTTTCTTAAATTAAAAAAATTGATGTCTTTCATCTGGTATAGAGTCATTTGATGTAAGTAACAATGGAAAATGATCACTGCCGTACTGGTCATCTAACACTTTCCAATCGAAGTCCAAGAATATAGCAGAGTGGACAATCGAGAGGTCGATGCAAGAAAACGTACCTGTAGCTGGATATAAATATGTAGGTGACCAAATGTTTAATAAACAAAGCTGAAAGTTATCTATCAATTTTTCAGTTATATTACCCGTGTTATTTGTAGATGTAACTGCCCCACTTAGGATTATGAGCATTAAAGTCGCCTAAGAGAGAAGGAAAGGTGATGGTAATTGTCGAACTATACTCTCAAGCTCATCACTTGTTACCGTTATATTTGGAGAAAGGTATAGAGAACAAATTGTTAGAGGTCGATGTAAGGTCACCTGCACAGCTGGTGGCTTGTAATCTTGTGTTAAGTTTTAGTTCTTTTTTGTGGAACGCAATTTGCGATAGCAATGCTTGTACCACCTGATGTTTTCTGGCGTTACTAGTGCATATATAGTTATATAGTGTATAACCTTTTATAGAGATATTATCTTTAGGAGATAACATGGTCTCCTGAAGACATAACACATTTGGAGATAATTTTGATAAAAGTAGAAGTAAATCATTATAATTTGACTTTAGACCACGGCAATTCCATTGTAGGATAGAATGACTTCTATTATCCATTTTAAAGAATATTTATATCATTTAGGAACTTTATTGGACTTCTGCTATTCGGAGTTGGAGGAGGGGAGAGGTAAAAGATCCTCATCCTCCATCAATTGGGTGTCGTGAAGTGGATCGAACCGATTTTCTGTGTTGATCGGGTTCCGCATTGCTTTTTTCAACGATCTGTGATGACAATTCGCTCTTTAGGCGATTGTTTTTTTGAATAACTTTCTCAGAAGATGCTATTTGAATGTTTGCGGTTTGCTTCTTTGGAGAAGACTTTAATGGTGACTGAGTCTGCACAGAGGTAGACTGCTTACTTTGTGAAGCTGTATGCTTTGAAGGTAATGGTAACTTAATTGGGGGGCATTGACATAAGTTGACCTGTACTGCAGAGTCAACCATCTTAACAGACTTTGTAACTGCAGCTGAATACGACAGTTGTTTTGGTCCTTGTATTTCAACAAGCTTTTCGTGCATCTTGAAAGGAAATATTTTGCGTATACTTCTGACGTAGAATTTCTTTTTCCTTTAACCACAAGGGGACATGACCGGGAGGTGTTGCGTAATGCTCTCCTCCACAGTTTGGCACATTTCAACCGGAAATAACGTTACAAGATCTCATTTTTGTCATGGTTTCTTGCATCTGCGGCCATAATAGTGACGGTCTCTTGTCTAATTTGATATCATGGTGAGCTCAAAAATTTGAAGTGGTCATTTGTAAATTGCATTGGGTTTGGAATGTTAACCACAACGCGAACTTTAAGGTTACTACTCGCAATCCGTATGATTGGAGAAACTGGGTTGTAGTAGAATGTGTTAGACTATATAGTTTCTGTACTTCGTTGGCACCTGTTATACCATCTGCTTGTAAGAATAAATGCGCTTGATATTTGAAACTTGCTGCGATTTTAACTATTCAGCAAATATCATTTCCTCTGCCATTCAAGCAAAGGTTTTAAGCAAACATTTTGAATAAGCCCTTGCTGGAGTTCAGAGCTGGTGAGGCGCGCGCAGTTGAAATCGATATTGAAGAAGGTTGTGCTTTTTCAAAATATTTTCTGCTTGTTGCTGTCGCTCTACCTCTATCAAGAGTCCACCATTGCGGAGTTTTTTGACAGATTTAGGCGTACCAATTTAAAGCTGAAAGTTGTTTTTCTATAATGAAAGGGCTAAGTTCAGTTAGTGATTTTGAGCTTATTATATTTAATTATCAGAAAACGGGGAAAACTTCCATCAACCCAAAATCGAATACAAATTGAATCTTCTTTGGCGATTTTCGTTTTTTGGTTTGGGAATCCATGATAAAGATATGAAAAATTCGTCTCCCGGGTTCCCCAGCCACTCGGACTCCAACATGGGGATGTGCGAATGGAGACGGATATCCAGTCTCCGCACAACAAGGCTACCAGAGAGATATACTCGTATAGATTGTAAATAATTACAATTTACACAATTAGCCATTAGCCAACCGCCGCTTCTTGGGATATGTTATACTGTATTATAATGCAAATGTGAAAGATTGTTGTTAATTAACGGCACGGGATAATTACAGTTTTAGTAGGAATTGAAAGGTATACTAAGAATCACAAGTAGGAATCAAATATGTTGCTTTAAATTGTAAATTCATTTCGGGACGCGTGTAAGTTCGAGAATCTGCAATTTTGATTTGAAATATATATCCCCAAGGGCAAGGCATGACCAGCCGATTGACCAAAAAAACGCCGGGCTCGCTTGGCCACCCGCCTATACCCTAAATCAAGGCTCAAAGCAGTGGTGGTTGGGAGTACTGGGAGACCCTGGTATCCTCAACTAAGGACCTCTTTTCTAGGTTACGGGGACGCCTGCCCACGGCAAAACAGGCAGTAGGGTGTTGGCCATAAGTTTCCGTCATACAGGCGCACAACAGCGCACCCCCATAACGGACATATGTTACTCCTCCTCACCACGTAGAGGTACCCTAAAGATGAAGAGGTGGAACGTGAGGGTAAGGAACATTTGATCACATGAAGTAGACTTATGTATTGAATGCATTGTTGTGTATGTCTGTTTTCAATGACTTACCAGCTGCTGTTACCCCTGTTCGTACTAATGTAGCTTGCTTTCTTTACAGGGATTAAGGGGCAGGCTGAGGAGACGATGGCGGCGGCGGCTGACAGCGGAGGACGGACAGGGGCAGGGGCAGGGACAGTCAGGGGAGATGGTGTGAAGGAAGAGGAGACGGCGGCGGCGGTGGGCATGACAGGTTTTTTTTTGTTTTGTTTGGATTTTTACGGCACGTCAACACATAACTGGCCATATCGTGCCGAATGCTATAAATAGGCTTAAAATATTATGTAAAACATTGTAAATGACAATAGAAATGAGCAAGTTAGATCCTAGAAATACAAATTTTTCTCTTTTAAATAATCAATTATGTTTTTGATGGAATTGTATTAAAACAGTTCTTTGAGTGAATTTACAGAATAAAATTCTATTACGGGCCTGTGAAAAATCAGACATTCAAGAAAAAATGCTTGACAGTAAAATTTTCATTACAACCTAGCACAGAAAGGGGCATTGTCATTTGTGAGGAGAATACGAGTGGCGTAATTTTAGTGTGTCCAATTCGGGCATCGAAGAAGAACTGTTTGATCACGAGGTGGTTTGACAGAGATAGAGATGGTGAAGAGAACGTTGGCCGCGGAGAAGAAGAAGGGCGAAGAAGGCGAAGAAGAGGAAAGTATGAAGAGGTGGAACGTGAGGGTAAGAAACATTTGATCACATGAAGTAAGACTTATGTATTGAATGCATTGTTGTGTATGTCTGTTTTCAATGACTTACCAGCTGCTGTTACCCTGTTCGTACCTAATGTAGCTTGCTTTCTTTACAGAGATTGAGGGGCAGGCAGAGGAGACGATGGCGGCGGCGGTGACAGCGGAGGACGGACAGGGGCAGGGAGAGTCAGAGGAGATGGTGGTCAAGGAGGAGGAGGCGGCGGCGGTGGGCATGAACAGGCTCAATCAAACCGATCCTGCAACATTTTCAATTTTGCCGTGTTGGGCTTTCTTTAGGGATTCTGTATTTATCTATTTTTTGACAGGAGACACGTTGGCCGCGGAGAAGAAGAAGGCGAAGAAGGTGAAAAAGAGGAAGTATGAAGAGGTGGAACGTGAGGGTAAGAAACACTTGATCACATAAAGTAGACTTATGTATTGAATGCATTGTTGTGCATGTCTGTTTTCAATGACTTACCAGCTGCTGCTACCCTTTTCGTACCTAATGTAGCTTGCTTTCGTTACAGAGATTGAGGGGCAGGCTGAGGAGACGAAGGAGGTGGTGGAGGAGGAAAGGCCGTTGAGGGACTGGACGACAATAGAGCTGTTCCAGCAGTCGGGCAGCTTAGCTGGTGATTTAGCTGGTAAGAGTTTTGTTACTTTTAAGAACCTGCATGTATGTAGACTTGTGACACATAATAATTTAATACGTGATTGTAAACTTAACCAGATTATAGTAAAGGGATCGGCGTGGACGGTAACTTGCACTTTCCAGTACCGTCCATGAACAGGCTCAATCAAACCGAGCCTGCAACATTTTCAATTTTGCCGTGTTGGGCTTTCTATAGGGATTCTGTATTTATCTATTGAAGAATATGTTATTCAGTGATTTTGTGATTGTAGACTTGTTATGATGATTTGATAACTTGATTGTGGTGTGTATACAAAATGGATCGTCGACTTAATAATTTAACGAATTTTTTTATTGTAGACTTATAAAATCATACCGACTATAGCAATGTTTCCTTTCATTTCAGGGTAAAAAGCAACAGCGCCCGTGCCCGCTTGAGGGGTGCCGAGCCAGCGTTGTTAACATGGCTCGGCACTTCAGGCAAGTTCATCCGGGACGGAGGTCCCCAAGAAGCCCACAGCAGCAGAGGGGAGTAGGCGGACCTACGGGGGGCAGAAGGTGTGGCGCCGTCTGCTCCAGCCGTACGATGAGAATGGACTTGCACCTGGTTCGAAAGCACGGGTTGATGAAGGGCTCCCCGGAATATGCAGCCAAGCTGAGGGCGGCCACCGTACCCCAAATACGCTTCCACTGGAGGGGACCCAGCGACCTATGCAGAGGCTCTGGTTTGGAAATATGGGTAGGTACGTTTATTTCTAAACTCTATTTGTACTGTTCATCTGCAAATTGATCGATCTCCGTCTTCGTTTCAATTGAGACATAATTGGTGTTTACTTTAATTTAATCTATGAATTTCTTTTCAGAGAGAGACTGCAGGACAGGTTTTCAATGGGGAACCGAGAAGGACGGAGGCCCCACCACCAGGTCTCACGGGAGCCGGGCATCAAGCGGCTTGCTGCCCGCCCCTTACATCAGAGGGCGGTGCCAGGGATTACAATCAATCGGATTGGGGTCCGTGGACGGCCTGGTGGACACCTCTTGAAAGAACGAGACGTAAGTAGTGCAATTTTGGGTGTTTTTGTAAGGGAAGACAATTTTTTGTCGGATTGTGATTGTCAGTACCATTAATACCAGCACACCAACAGTATCTTACGTGTAGGCTTTTCTGCTGTCTGACATATTCATTATATAATTAGTATTATATAAGATATAACCATACATTTGTCATTGAAACAATATTATATATGAAAAACAAGATCAACAAGGAAAGGCGGCGTTCAATGAACGCAACCCCCCCCCCCATGACCCAGCAACAAGAACCAATGGCAAGGAGCCCAGGCGGACCCCAAACATAAAAAGGACAGGGCAACGACACGTTAATCATAAAATGATAAATAATTTGTAACTGATTAGGAATTCAAAGAAAATAATAATAGGCCCACAAAGGGGAAGGGGACAGGAGACCGGGGGAAGGGGGGGGGGGGGTTAATCAAAGAAGTAAAAACTAGAGGCAATGGGGAAGATACTAACCGTAGACTTTTGTTTGTTTGTTTGTTTGGATTTTTACGGCACGTCAACACATAACTGGCCATATCGTGCCGAATGCTATAATAGGCTTAAAATATTATGTAAAAAATTGTAAATGACAATAGAAATGAGCCAGTTAGATCCTAGAATACAAGTTTATCTCTTTTAAATAATCAATTATGTTTTTTGATGGAATTGTATTAAAAAGTTCTTTGAGTGAATTTACAGAATAAAATCTATTACGGGCCTGTGAAAAATCATGACATTCAAGAAGAAAATGCTTGACAATAAAATTTTCATTACAACCTACACAGAAAGGGGCATTGTCATTTGTGAGGAGATAAGAGTGGGTAATTTTAGTGTGTCCAATTCGGCATCGAAGAAGAACTGTTTGATCACGGCGGCTTGACAGAGATAGAGATGGTGACATATCAAGAGATGGGTTTATATCGTGAGTTTATTAAAAACGGCATTGTCCCAATTTGCTTTCCATTCAGCTGATACGAGTTTATTTATAGCCGGTCTAAAATCACAAGCAGGTAACAATAAGTCAGTTTTTTTGAAAATTTAATGATTGTTTAGCTAAAGCATCTGCTTTTTCATTTCCTCGTATTCCTACATGGCTTGGAATCCAATATAATTTAAGATATTTTGTTTTTAGTATATCATGAAATCGTAAAAAGAAGTTTCTTTACCATGATATTGTCAGATTTTTATTTTTAATGGATATTAAAAAAAATAGATAAAAAAGGAATCCCTAAAGAAAGCCCAACACGGCAAAATTGAAAATGTTTTGCAGGGCTCGGTTTTTGATTGAGCCTGTTCATGGACGGTACTGGAAAAGTGCAAGTTACCGTCCACGCCCCCTAGCACCGGCTTAAGCAGAATTCAACATTTAAACATGAAATGGTAAAAGTTTGAATTTAGAAACATCCGCAGATGTGTTCATACGGCGGTTATCATGGAACCTTCAATGTGACACTTCCGTGCCATTCCATGAAAAGCGGCGTATGGTCCCCAAGTAATAAAAAGCGTGTGCCCTAAACGAGAAAACAATGGGCGGAACTAAATAAAATGGAATTTTGAAAGGGGATCAGAGGTTATGAAGCCTGCGTATCACAGATAAGACGTCAAAAGACAAATTTAAAATGCCAGGCAACATATCCTAAAGGGTGATTCAACATTATTCAAGTAGGAATATTGGAAACCACCCAACTAGAAAATGCCGAAAAATTGAAAACTAAAATATACCACAAGCACAACAAATAATGTCGTGCTGAACGATCTTCAAGGATCGAAAATATAACATCATTGATTAAATGTACGGGGAGACTTTTTTACAGCCGCCACACGGCACAAATAACACGGATGTGATCATAAATATGATAAAAAAGAATCCTAAAGAAAGCCCAACACGGCAAAATTGAAAATGTTGCAGGCTCGGTTTGATTGAGCCTGTTCATGGACGGTACTGGAAAGTGCAAGTTACCGTCCACGCCCCCTAGCACCGGCTTAAGCAGAATTCAACATTTAAACATGAAATGGTAAAAGTTTGAATTTAGAAACATCCGCAGATGTGTTCATACGGCGGTTATCATGGAACCTTCAATGTGACACTTCCGTGCCATTCCATGAAAAGCGGCGTATGGTCCCCAAGTAATAAAAAGCGTGTGCCCTAAACGAGAAAACAATGGGCGGAACTAAATAAAATGGAATTTCGAAAGGGGATCAGAGGTTATGAAGCCTGCGTATCACAGATAAGACGTCAAAAGACAAATTTAAAATGCAGGCAACATATCCTAAGGGTGATTCAACATTATTCAAGTAGGAATATTGGAACCACCCAACTAGAAAATGCCGAAAAATTGAAACTAAATATACCACAAGCACAACAATAATGTCGTGCTGAACGATCTTCAAGGATCGAAAATATAACATCATTGATTAAATGTACGGGGAGACTTTTTACAGCCGCCACACGGCACAAATAACACGGATGTGATCATAAAATAGATAAAAAAGAATCCCTAAAGAAAGCCCAACACGGCAAAATTGAAAATGTTGCAGGCTCGGTTTGAGCCTGTTCATGGACGGTACTGGAAAGTGCAAGTTACCGTCCACGCCCCCAATAACAGAAAGAGAGTCAGAAAATATCACAAATTTATCGTGGGTATGCTGTGCTATGTATGACAATGCTAAATCGATAGCTTTTGCTTCAGCAGTAAAAATTGATGCATTATCTGGTAACCTCATACTAGATGTAAAATTATTTTCAAACACAGCCGCACCTACTTTGCAACCTTCTTTTGAACCGTCCGTATAAATATGTATAAAATCTTCATGTTCTTCCTTAATTGCAAGAAACTTCTCTTTGAAATATTCAGGTGAATTTGATGCCTTTTTTATATTTGAAAGGATAATATTTATTTACGGGGAATTATAAGTCCAAGGTGGAACATCCTCATCGTCATTTTGAAGGATACTGTCTGGATGAATATTAAGTTTATCTAAATCATCTTTTAAACGAAGGCCTAATGGTTTAATTTCCTTTGGTTTGTTAACAAATTTTTCAGTATAACTTAGTTTGAAAATAATATTTTTGCTGGATTTTTGCAATGAGATGAAATTCTACTTGCATATTGAAGTGACAGTTTTTTTCGACGGAGATGAAGCGATGGTTCCCCAACTTCAGCATATAGACTTTCTAAAGGTGAGGTGCAAAAAGCACCTAAAGCTAAACGTAAACCCTGGTGATGTATGGTAATCTAGCATTTGAAGATATGATTTTCTTGCAGACCCATATACTAACAGAACCATAATCTAATTTTGATCGAACAAGACTTCTGTATAATTTCAGTAATGTGGAAGAATTTGATCCCCAATTTGTACTTGATAAAACCTTAAGTAAATTTTAAAGCTTTTAGGCATTTAGTTTTCAAATGTTTAAATATGTGGTATAAAAGAAAGTTTTTTTATCAAATATAATTCCTAGAAACTTAGCTTCATCAACTACTGGAATTTTAGAACCAGATATGTAAAGTTCAGGGTCATTATGTTGTTTTCGCAGTCGACAGAAATGAACACATTGAGTTTTTGACTTTGAAAATTTAAACCCATTTTCTATTGCCCACTTCTGAATTTTTTATCTAAATTTTGTTGAAGTTGCCGTTCAATTGTTCTCATACTTTTCGATCGATAGCAGATAAGAAAATCGTCTACATAGAGAACAATCTATGCCTGGTGTAAGAGCGCTAGCAATATTGTTTATTTTAAGGCCAAAAAGTGTAACAGAAAGTATGCTTCCTTGAGAAAACACCTTGTTCTTGTTGGTGTCTTGAGAAAAAGTTGAACCAAGTCTTACTTTAAAGTGCCTATCGTTTAAAAATCCAGAAATGAAAAGGGGAAGTCTGCCATTAAGTCCAGCATCCTTTAGATCTTTTAGGATACCATATTTCCAAGTAGTGTCGTAAGCCTTCTCAAGATCAAAGAAATTTGATACCAGGTGTTGTTTATTTACAAAGGCTTCTCTAATAAAAGTCTCAAGTCGTACAAGATGATCGTTTTGTACTTCGCTGTTTACGAAAACAACCTGACTGAAAATTAGTGATAATTCCATTATTTTCTAGATACCAAACTAACCGATTATTTATCATTCTCTCGAATGTTTTGCAGAGGCAACTTGTAAGTGAAATTGGACGATAATT